CGGGTCCCCTCCGCGGCGCAGCTCGGGCGGGCGCTGCCTTTGGTGACCGTCTCCCCAAACGGGTGTCCCCCGCGCCGGCGTTTTGGTGGCCGCGGGGAGGTTTTCCCTCTGCTTTAGCTGCACGAGGCAAAACAGGGGATTTCCGGCGCTCTCTTAGACCCGTTGAAATAGCCTGATTAGATGATACACCTTGCTTTAGCCCACGAACAGCTCTGAAATAGTGGGAACAGGTTTTCTCCGTGTCACTTCACAAAGAAATAATCCTGGATCCAAGATGCAAACTCTCAGGGTGCCGCGGGAACCAGGGGCTCCCCAGGGTGGCAGGGGCTGCCCAGGGTCCTGGGGGCAGCCCCAGCGCCAGGGGCATCAGGCCCTGCTTAGGGACGGGCTGCTGTCCCATGGGGGTAGTGGGGGCATCCCACGTGAGGCCTGGCAGGGCCAGCGAGGCCTCTTGGGGCTTTCACACAAAGTGGGGAAGTCCCGCTTGTAGAAACACAGCATGTGTTCAGTGTGTGTCCGGTATGAGTTTGTCTGATAGGGCAATAGTACCTATGGCGTCTTAATCCCTGTTCCTCGGTTTCTGGTTTTGAAGGGCCCTTGGGAGTGCTCAGGTGTTCAAAGCTGAAAATTCCCAGACTGATTTTTCTGGAGGACACCAGGTTTACCTGGAAGCACCATTTGGAATGAAAGTTGAAGTGAGAATCTGAACTGCAGCCAGGCCAGTCATGCCGCAGCGGTGCGGTGCCCTTCAGCATGACTCCTTCTTCAGCAGCCTGGCACTGCTGTGTCGTGGTGCGCTTAGCTGTGACACCTCCAAATCCTATTTCTTTCCCTCACTCACCCTTTAGCATTCATTTTTCCCCCCCAGCGCTGCCTTACCTGTTACCCTTTCTTTTTCTTTTTTTTTTTTTGATGTTGCTTTTTCAACATTACTTTTAGTGAGCTCCCTCTCTAATTTCCTGACATCTAGGCAGAAGTTCTACAGAAGTCTGTTGTTCTTCCCTGCTTATTAGATGACTTTCACTGTTCTCATGGTCTCTCAGCAATTTGTGCTGGAGTCTGAAATTTAGCTGCTCAGTCTACATTTTTTTTTACCCATTTCCTCCTCTTTTTTTTTTTCTGATCTGTGTGCCTTTCCACTTATTTAAACTATAAATATAGCAAAAAGTGAGATCCTTCATCAGCCTTACCCCCAAAAGTAAGATCCCTGAGGCAGTGATAATATTGTCACTTGGTCAGTGACAATGAATATTTTGACAGGCGTTTTCCAAGGAAGCCTTTCAGTAGGTGTAGTGGCAGCTCCAGTGCACCAGGTTTCCTATTTACAGGTCCCCAGCTAGTGGCTCCAAGGAAGAGTTTATTTTCATCCATGCACTGGATACTGATATGCTTCGCTATAGATCTATTATAATAAAATTGCAGTGTGCGGTCCTGTGCTGGTATCTGTGTTATCTTTAACCCATGGTCAGAGTCAACTCTATGATAATCTCCCATATCCCCTGACTTTTAGGGCCCGTGGATATTTTGTTTTTCTCTTTTTGGTTGCCTTTACTTTGTTCTTTCCGTGGCTACTGGCTTATTCTTTCCACTAAGACTAAAAAAAAAAAAAAACAGAAAATGATTTCTTCTCTTGGTTGTTAGCTATCTTGAGCTGCATGCAGTGTTGCTGAATTACCTGAATAGTAGTCGATCCTTTCCGTAAGGCAAAACACGGAATCTGTTAATGTGAGCATCTTCTCTCTTCCTCCTTGCAGGATGTTTTTCTTTATTCCTTGTCCTGGAGTCGTTTCTAAATCCAGGAATTATGTTTCTCTTGCATAAACAGTTGTCTATTTTCTAGTAAGGAAACTGTTCCTTTATTTGAACCCTATTGCTTACTGCAGGCATCCAAACCCATTATTTTTGTTCTTAAAAAAGAAAATCTTTAACTTTACTGATGACTGCATAAAGACTTGTATTTGGTTAATAACTATTTCCTTCCTTCCCATTCTTGCTTGTCTTTATGTAATGTGAATATTAAATCTTTCAGGACAGGGAAGTTGTGATTTTAAGTAATATTGTAATGCTAAGTAATGTCTTAGTATGTATGGATTATTGCTGTTTCTATTTGAGTAGGTGCATGTGTGTGTATATATAGGGGCGTGTGTGTATATATGTGTGTGTATATATATATATACATATATGCCTCCTACAATGGTCTCTGTGATTTAGAGGTAAGTATATCTCAAGGGGCTGAAATACTAGTTCTGCTCCCAGCTCTTCCTGGAGTCTGGGAGGACTCAGCAAAGTACTTTCTCCTAAGTGCTCAACTGGTGCAGATGGGAGGGAGGAACAACTACCAACAGGGAAGAGCAAGGATTTGCCTAGTGTAAAGTATAAAGCTTCTCTGTTTCTGGCAGTTCAGGCATTTTGATCTTGCATTTCCTGTGCAGAAAAAAAATTGTCCTGAAGCCACCGGCATGCTCAGCTGTGTGAGGAATACCAGGCATAAAATTCTCTGTTGAGAATGCCAGTAGGTTTTATTTTTCTTTTATGCAGAGAACGCAGTCTGTTGCACTGCATGCAAAGTATTGGCTGTAAAACTGATGAGAAGTGGAGAACTGGCCTCCTGCTCTAACATTAAGAAACACTGGTGCTAATCTTTCAAGAAATTAGGGAAGAAATTGTACAGACTAAATA